GCATGCAGAGTGAGCGCAGAGCAGAGGAGGGAGAGAAAAAAAGAAGCTAGGACCACGACACTGCCTCTGGGTCTCATATGGTTGTACAACAGAGCTTCTGCTATTATTAGCCATGCTAACGTAAACGCTGGCTTTGGAGGGCGGAGTTAATGTCAACAGATTTTTGGAGGGCGTTACCAACAGAGCTCATTAACATAAAAAGCTCTTCTGAACGGAAGTCAGAGCAGGCAGAACTAGAAAATGAGAAATTTTATTATCTGAAAATTATTTTGTGCATTAAATTGAATGAATATGGTCTGGATAGCCCACAGACATACTGTAAACATTTCTAGGACCCATAATTGGTCTCCTTTAAAATAGCAGGATAATGTATAATCAAGTATCTGATTTGAGTACGCCTGTTGGATGCTGCTGAGCTAGCTCGCCCTGTTTGGCTTCACGTCTCCTTTATTCTCYGTCCATCGCCTCCTCCCTCCCTCCTCTCCACTCAGTGCTGCTGGCAGAGACTGAACAGATACAAGCAGAGCAAAGCCCAGGCTTCATCAGAGTCTTTACACTGAAATGCAAACAGGGACGACACAAAGTGGCATCAAACGAGTTAAAAACTAACAAAATGCAYTGTGGAGTTTTAACGCCTTTATTTATAACTTCATACAGACAAAAAACCAACCACAGCTGGATTTCTCTGTATTTATGTGGATTTTCTTGAAGTTTGTGCAGTTTCTGGTGGACRCAGAAATGTTATTTTTATGAATTTTTGGCCAAAATTCTAACATTTCTATAGATACCACACATGTCTATGTTTAAAGACCAGGTAAAGTAAATTTTAGTATTTTCTTCAATAAACATTATAAATGTCATAATTGGATTGTTGCAAATGAGTAAAACGTCTCACAACTGTAAATTCATTAATTTTGGAGATCAATTTGTGTTTAAAGATATTTTTGTTTCAAGATTCTTTTGGGCATGTTTTAAAAGGTTTTAAATATAACGTAGGTTAATGAAGGTGGGAAAAAAAGTGCAATTCTGCCCCTGCTGATGAGTGCACTGGGCTGAAGAGGTTTTAAGACTGAATGTAATGGTGAAATGTGAAATTTTAAGGTTAACATTCAACATAACAAAATTTGTCTGACCCAGTTCTGACCCACCCAGTGCACTAGCACTCTAACACTCAGCTCAGATACAGCAAAGARTAACGGCCCTTTGTTGGCCCGATGTGGTTGGCCAGAGGTGGTCCATGAATGGGCCAGCACCACATAAACCAAACCACAACTGGGCCAATTGACACATTCCAATTTAAACACTGTGCCATCATTGCCAGACCAGGCCCACACCTGTCTGCTATGTGGGATCAAAGAAATAAATATTAGATTTTCTTGCATTTAAAAAAGAATACAGTATGATGTCACCTAAAAATGGCAGCCACAATGCAATACATATATAATGCCAATGACATAAAAATAAGGCCAATAACAACACATCTTCTACAAAAATAATCAGAAATAAAGTTGTTAACTCAGATTCATGAGCTGCACCATGCCTCACGTGATGAGTCTTATGGATCTACGGTTATTAGGACACAAGCTCAGTGTCAGTATTTTGTGGTCTAGATACATTATATTCATATACCAGCTGAGCTCTGCAGTCATTTTAACATCACATTTAGCTATCCCAACATAAAATACCAATAAAATGAATTCATAATTGAATTTAAAAGTCAATAGAAAAACAGGTGTAAAAAATGAACGACTAAAGTTAAAAGCATACGTTGAAAACTGGAAATAGCTATGAATATATATATGAAGGTGTCCCTGATTTTACACATTCACATTATCTGTAAAAAATTCACTTCACCTTTTCAGTGCACCTCATCCTCAGACCTCTTCTCACTGCACTCATTCAACTAAACTAAATTGAGCTCAGTTTATTTACATCACCAAATCACAGCTGAAACCATCTCAAAGTGTTAGTCTTGAGGTCTACAAACTTTATTATCAGAACCATTTTTACAACATTAAACACCTGATAAAAATTATCTAAAGTCACAAAATACACTTGACCATTGAAACAAAGATACCACAACTCATTCTGTTTTTACATAAACACTGTATATTAATTAATTGCTTTTTTATTATGTAATTAAAAGCTTTGTTATTTTTGCTTGTGAATGTATGTCTTGAACTTTGGATTCCCCATTTTCTTTACTTCAAGTTAACAATCTTGGTTTTCCTTAGTTTTAGCATTAAAAAAATGACGTAAAGCAGTAATCACATCTTTGACTTTGCTCTCATCCCCATAAAGGAACCACTGTGGCACATTTCTCATTCCTACTTTTTATTTTTTTCCTAATTCTTTATAGTACAACTACAGCTGCCAATCAGGAGGAATTACACATACGTAAGGTGAAACTAGATGGAAGAACAAAGATTCTCCAAGAGGTTCTCACATCTTTTATGCAGCTCGGCCATTAAATATGATGTGAGAACCATTAAAATGATTTGTAAAAGATGCAGCGAGTCTAGGTAAATGACTGGGACATAACAAAGTTTCCAATTGTGTAAAGCTTTTTTCATCCTGATCCACTGGGAATCATCTGCTTGTGTAATTACTGCTGTGTTTATTCACAGCAGAACCACTGCTTCACCGAATAAACTTGTTTCAGATTTGATCTGTTCATTGTTACTAATTTTAGGAACAGCTGAGATTTTTTTTTACAGCTCAAATGTCTCTCCCTGTACCCAGATGGAGATCCGTTAACTGCAGGTTGCTGAGCAGAGAGAAAACAGAAATGGCACCGTGCCTGACTCTGAACTGTTGCTGAAGCAGTTTTGACAGACAGGCTATTATGCACGTTATGTCGACCTCCAAGCTGCTGCTGCTGTAACTCACAGTCCTCTTCTGCTGGACTGGGAACGTTTGCAGACATTTGCAAAAAAAAATGCACTTCTTTCTATTACACCTAAACTCTGTGACAGGGAGTAGGAAATACTACTTAAATATTTTATTATTGTTATTCTTGTAAAAAAAAATTGTCTCTTTATGTGATGATGTCATGTTGAAGAGGAAGGTCAGGAGAGTAGGTTTTGTGACCATCTAAACCAGGGGTGCCCAAACATTTTCCCTGAGAGGGCCAAAATTAAAATTAATCTGAGGGCCATGGGCCAAATGCAAYAATATTAGAAATGCAAATACTTAAGTAAAGTTGTTTTATTTTTTTATGATTAAGATAGCAGCCAGTGTGGTTGCCCACATTCTTTTTTTTTTCAGCCCATGGACATGGAGAAAATTCAATGTATGCTCAGGCAGCAAAGACTCATGGGACTTGTCATAATTTAAAATTTGAATATATGTGGTCTTATAAGGTGTGCAAGTCTATATATGGGCTTAAATCTAATGTAAATATCTCTTGTAGTTATACTTGTATTTTGTATTTAATCTTAATCTAGTAAGCAGGACAACTGCTGGTGGGCCAAATCAAATGGCTCGGGGGGGCGATTTTGGCCCGCGGGCCCCACTTTGGGCACCTCTGATCTAAACAGCCCAAAAGGTTTTAAAATTTGTTGTATTTGGTATTTTTTCTGTATTGTAACCATCAGTGGTCCCTATACTAGCATGTTTACAAGAACTCCTACAAAATGCTTGAATACTCAGAACCGTTACCAGTATTGATACCAGGATACTAGTACTGATACTCCACTGAYTGTGTAACAGTTTACATTTCAAGTGAAAAGTTTGTCAGTTCCTTGTTTAAGAAATGTATACACGTTGAAAGAAAATCTTATTTGTTATTTTTATTTCCCTTAAAATGCTGCAGCAGTATACAGCATGCTGTATATTTGATTTGATCCAGTCAGATAGACCTAGGCCTATAAGGAAGGAGAGCCACCTTGTTCGAAATAAAAGAAATGTGTTTTTGAAGTCACTGTGTAATGTTTTGACTCAGTAAGTACTTGATATTAGCCTGGCCCTTGCCTTCCTACGCAGCGCCGCTCAATTCTAGTTTCCCTTCACTGCTCTGTCTGGGATTTCTCCCATAGACAAGGAGAAATTTTGGGAGAATTTTCATCCGGGCCAATAAGAAAACAGAACGTCGATTTTCTGCGCAGTGTCAGCTTGTAGTTTATTTTACCTGGGCCAATCAGCAAACAGAAGGCGGAGTTTTGAATGACGTTGATTTTCTGCACAGTGTCTGCTAGTTAGTTCAGCTCTATGGCAGTGGAGGAAGTGAGTGAAGTCAGTTTGTATTGATAAGGCTTCCAAATTAAATTAAATTTGTCTGACAAAGCAGCAGCTCTCATTTACAGACGTCTCATTCGGCTCGGTACTTCTCTCCTCTCAGTGGGGTTGTTTACAGTACACGCGATTTCCGGTTAGCGTCTTAGCTTAGCCTCCTTCACAGTGGAGCTGGCACACATATGTCATGGCCAACTGATGCAATCATTTTAAACTTCAGCAGAGGCCACGCCTCCAGCAAGAATTGCTTCTCTGTAGCAGCGAGTCCAGACCCTCGTACGAAGCAAAATAAAGGACAAGGGTCTGGTTTTTACCAGGCTAAATTGGTATTGACGAGTAACCAAATTAAAGTTCTTACTCAGTTTGAGGAAAAACTGGTATTATTGGGATGCCCCTAGTAAAAATGCTTTGTGACAGTAAATTCTATACCAATAGAAGGATGTTTTTCCCTCCATTACTAGCGTCACATTTAGTAGGAAAAAGCATTTGCTGGTTGCACCCATGAAAAACTTGCTCAGTTGCCAAACAACTTATTCTGCTCCTGACCCCAGGTGCTCAAGAATCAGGTGACTGGTTGGTGATTGTCAGCACCTGTGAGCAACCAAAGTGATGATGTCATACCTCCATGCTCTGGAACTCAACTCTGTCCTCCAAGGTGACGACACTTTCCTCCACAAAGAGTGGTTTATCAGACTCCCTCCAATATTTGGGAGTGGACAGAATAGAAAAGGCCAGTTTGCCGTTCTGACCTCAACAACATGACTCACCTATATACAGTGAAGAGTCTTTCTTGTGGACATGGTCATCGATGTAGGACACCCCCAGAGGCTGGACAGGCGTGGCCCCGATGCCGAGCAGGACCTGGGCTCCGATCAGCAACAGGTACATCATGTTGGTGTTGGCTCGGTTGCTGCAGTTGAACCCGGAGTCTCGATTTTCCGACCTTGATTTGTTGGAGCAGATGTCCCTGCCGTCCTCGGCATGCCACGAGTCCCCCGCCTCGTACTCGTACTGGTGAGTCAGAAACTCGGGCAGTGCCGAGAGCAGGGCCCCCAACGCCATGACGATCCCACCGCAGCCGATCAGGCGGGGCCGGTGGGCCTTGGCGCCAAAGTAGCTGACGAACAGAATGAGGGCCAGGTTGCCGATTTCAAAGCTGCTGGCGATGACGCCCACGTCGGCACTCTGCAGGTTGAAACGTCTCTCCAGAGTGGTGAGGACACTGACCTGACAGTCCCAGACAGACAGGAGAGAACAAAACCAGAGCTAAAACAACGAGTTTTTCTATTTTATCTACAGCAAGATTGTTTCAGTGGGAATAACAAGTGTTCTGCATGTAAATTAATTTAAAAGAACATCTCAATAAGAACTTGAAGCATTGCAAGTTAGACAAAACTCTGTCCTCTTCATCTTGTTACCTGAAACCAGCCTGATGAGTCTTTGAGCTTCTATCAATAACATGTTTTTTCTTTGTCTCTTCCAGAAGAAGGTGCACATGGACCAGTTCTTCTGTGTTTGTTTGTGTCTCTTTCCTGTCCCTCAACCAGCTGGTCGAGGCAGATGGCCGTCTGTCCTGAGCCTGGTTCTGCTGGAGGTTTCTTCCTGATTAGCAGGGAGTTTTTCCTCTCCACCGTTTGCTCAGGATGGGAGACTGTGATGAAGTGATTCAACACAATCTGCTGGTTTCTTCTTTAGATTATTCTTTTTATGTTCAGTGCCCTGAGACAACGTATGTTGTGACTTGGCGCTATATAAATAAAAATAATAAACTTGAACTTGAAACTTTATAGACAGATACGAAAAAACCAAACTTGGTAATGAAAATGTATTTTTCAATTCAGAACTGAAACATGCTGAATCATTTTTTTCCATCAACCTTTCAGCTTTTTGCTGCATTGTTCCTGCTGATCTTGTGTTTACTGAAAATTGCACTGCGAAGCCTAATGAATTAAGTGTTTATTACAAGTACAGCTGCAAGTAACAATTGAAAAGATGCAAGTCACAGTTTCTGTAAGGAGGACCAGTGGAGAGTCCAGGTCTCCTCTCATTTAGTGCCTCATAGAAAAGAAGCTTCACGTCAAACAGGAAGAGGTTGGAGATACTTGGACTTTCCACATCAGATTACTGTGTATTAAATTACAAGGAACTGAAAGAACAGTGGAAACCCTGATAGGAAATCATTTCACTACAATGCCCACATAAGTAGCTAGTAAATAGTTAATAATGCAGTTATTATTGAATCTATAAACACCTGCATTCTGTTTTGATTTTTAAAAATCTACCTGCATCCAATCATGTGTTTATATATATATATGTGTATATGTATATATGTGTGTATATGTGTATATGTATGTATGTGTGTATATGTATATATGTATATGTGTATATGTGTATACGTATATGTGTATATGCATATGTGTATATTATATATGTATATATATATATATATATATATATATATATATATGGCAGAAAACAGTAGTTTAATTAAAAGCTGAGAAATTTGCAAAACATGAATTTTACCTGAATAAATAACRTATAGCACTGGATTAAGTGAAAAGTGTTTTATCTTCTTTAATGTCATTAAGTGAAATAAGAAAACCTTCTTATGAAGCATTATTGGACCTAATAATAGAACCAAACTCTTGAACACATAAACTGTCTTTCAAGCTGTAAATAAAGCAACATGTTCAGATCTAATGCTGGTTTAACTCTGATCCCTTCCAGATGTTTTCCTTCACATCTCTACAGGATGAGAGAGAGAGTTAAAAAGGCATTTCTTGGCTCCTCAAAACATTTCCTAAGATGTAAACGTGATGTATCCCTGCCATCTCTTCTCTACTGAACAGAGATCTGTCAGGAAGTTATTGATCTAATTTGATCAGCGCAAAGGGCTGAGCTGTGGTGTTAATGATGAGCCACTCGTCCCTCCTGTTGTGGGGATCACGTCATCTCTCGGGCCTGTGTGCACAGCGGTGTCACGCGCCTCCTGCATTATTTAATAAGCGTGCAGAACGTGGCAGGCAGGCTGGATAATAAGATAAATCCTCCAGACCTGCGTTTGAAGTCTTGACCATAAAAATAAAAAAAAACGCAGAGAGAAATCTACCGAGCGAGCAGCGTGGAGCCGCGCGGCGCCGTGACGCGGCTGCGCGCGCAGGCCTGATGATGGATCATCTATCAGTGAGAGCGCAGTGATCATCAGAGGTGATCATACTAATGGGGGGGAACGACGTGGCATCAGCTCACTCACCAGATACGCGCCCACGGTGCCCTGTGCCAACATGAGCGCGCACTCCGCCACCAGGAAGATCTTAATGTTGGAGAAGCACGAGGTCTTCTTCTCGTTGTCATCCTGCTCCGGGTCGTCCGTGCCGCTGCTCCTCTCCGAGCACATCTGGTGCTTCACCTGCATCCTTGGCGTTCAGGCTCCGGTCGGTTTGGCCGGCGTGACGACACTGAGAGGCTCCGGTCCGGCGGAGGGGAACATCTGGTACCGATGATGACAGCGAGCGGCCCGCCCGCAGGAGATGAGACGGACGACCGCAGAGACGACCGASGACCACCGCTGTCCTCCCTGATTTTAGTCCCAGTCCGTCTGAAGCATCTCTCCTCCTGTCCGCTCGCCGAACGTCAGCTCCATCACATTTAAATACGTAGGCGACGCGTGCCGGGTGACGCCATCTGGTGCGTAACGACGGCACGCTGTTTCCTCACATCCGGGTTCCTGCTGAAGCTGCGTACTGGTCTGTGTGCTTAGAACTTATCAGCCCGGTTCCGAACTGCAGCTCTGTGTCCTGAACCATTAGAATCCATGAAACCAAACGGCTCAGACCAGTTTGTTTATTTACTTCCATCACAACTAACATAATGCCACAACACGACAATAAATAAATAATAAAATATAAATTTGATAAAACAAGTCTGTAATTTTCTAATTCATTAGATTTTAAGTAAACTTTATTTATATAGCACCTTTCACAGACACAAATATCGAAAAGGCTTAACAGAGAACACAAATAACTAAAAACATAAAAAACAGTGCATAAATTTCACGAACAAACAAACCGAACTAAAAGCTTGTAAATGTCTAGGTGTTTCTTAAAAGAGTCAGGAATCTGAGCAGCAAGTTTATTCAATTTGCTCTGATTGCAGTTTCACACTCTTGGCAAGCTTTGGTGCTCCTTCAAACCTGTAAACCATTCCAGGTACAGAACCTCATGAAGCTGATTAAGAGAATGGCAAGAGTGGACACATCCATAATAACTGAAAAAAAAAAAGAAAAAAAAAAAGCTTAAACTTACCTTTAGGAGCCTAAAGTGTTCCTCCACAGTCTGAATGACTCCAGTATTAATTTACAATGTAAAGAAAAACATAAAAACAATGAATGAAACAGTGTGTCCAAACCTTTGACTGGTAGTCTGTACACAGCACAAAAAGAAAGTAAATTTGTGTTATTTCTTTGTTGTAACAATGCTGCTTGGAAGTAAATCTTATACCATGCCTCTGAATGGCAGCGCCTGGGGGGACCAGAAGCTCAAAACAAGAATCAATAGCAACAGCAAAATAAGCTGTATGGTACAGAAGATTTGGCGTTTATGTGTACAACCCAGTCAGCTCTTCTCCCACAAATACATGTTTAAATGATGTGGCATCGTTTAAAAAGAAATTAACAGGCTTTCAAACAGTATAAGTTATCAAGAAGCATTGTTACAACAAAGTAATAATCTACCAAACACAAATTTTCTTACTTTTTGATGTAAGTTGATATACGCCACTTCAGTCATAAAACTAGGACATACTTCATGGACACTCTCAAATCCATTTTCAGGCTTAAGAAGACTAACCTCTTGACAGATTCATCCAGCAGCTTTTATTCAGAATCTTGTTCTTTTATTTACTATAGATGAGTGTCAGAAAGTAAAAATGTAAAAAAAAAACTTGTTATATCAGCTGTCTGTAATTATGACCTGCTTTTCAAAACTTATAATCTACTGTATATTTTGATTTATGACAGTTCTCTGCAGAGGAAGTTTAACCTCCATGATGCCGCAGGTTGTTCTGCCTCTTGGTTAGGCTTTGCCATGGCAAACTGGTTCAGTGGAGTGGTCAGATGAAGAGTGTTTGTCAAGCAGATGAAAGGAAATCTGCACAGATATACATCAACTACAAAACTGCAGGGTCTTCTTAACTGCGAGATAAGCTCCAAGTGTCAGAGTCCTGTTCCCTGTTGCTCTTGGCTCTTAAAATTCAACAAACAATTAAGATGCACTATCAGAATCGAACGAACATCATCTGAAGCAGCACAATCCATCAGGTGAAGTGTGGACTCAGCAGGCGGAGGGTCCATTTCTCATGCAGCCCCTCAAAGATGCTGTGGTGATTTAGGACCAACCACAGCGCTGCGGATGCAGAGCAAGCACACTGAAGACATTATTTTAGAACGCCTCCTAAATGCATGGTCTGCTGAGAAATGAGTGCATTCAGGCATTTGAGCTCAAACAAATAATATATCAGACATGGACATTAAACAGCTTTATTATTAACTTTATTTATTACCACTTTATTATGCTTTAGAAACTCAAGATATCCCACGCCTGAAAACATACACTAAATAATACAAATATACAATTAAAAAATAATAATTATTGCATTTTTTATTTTAGGAGCGTTATTGAATATATCTGTCTGTTATATAT